TAGGAAGAGAAAACCAAAGTCTGCAGTTGGGACTGCATGTCCTTTGCATGGATGAAAAAAATGACATGGAGCAACAGCCCCATCTAGCGCTCACATAACCTAAAATTGTAACAATAATCAGGATTGCTGGGCTGACATCTTTTAATCACCTATCATGGAAGATTTTTATCTGCCAGTAGCAGTTTAGCTTTATGTCCACTCTTAATGAACTCCACTTTTGTGATTTGGGCCTGTACTGAATTTAAGACAAAGCATGCTTCTGCACAACAGCTACAAAAGCAAGAGAAGTTGGCGCCTGGTGCACTGCCAATCTTTATGCCCAAATACAGCAGGAAAGGATTCTGTTTCTTTGGTTACTCATTCCTTAACCTCTTATGGTAAGACTTAATAAGCAAGTCACACACCAATTGAAATGTTCATTTTTCTTTATGTAGACAGCTGGATAGATACTGGAATAAGTCTTCTCCCTAGTTAAATAAATAGGATAAATAGGCTAAATCTTTTATTTCCACAGCTGGACATTAGCTTTAATCAAAAAGCGTGTAAAGCTCAGCAATGAGTTCACTTACTGGATCCTTAAACACCTAATAAGGATAGTAGATGCTCTGATGTTTAACATTGCAACACTTTTACAGTCCTTGTAACAGCACAATTCACAGATCTTAATTACACTTAAGCTATCTGCAAGGTGAGAGTTGGATGCTTAAGAATGGAATCCCTAAGAGCCAGCAAACTGAGCCATAGGTTGTCTGACCCAAAAAGCCTGCACTGGTGTAGCTCAAATCACATTCCTGTTCTGAACATAAACAGCTTTCTTTCCTACAAAACATAGGTGTGCAAATTATCCTGTGGCTCTTCTTACCTAGCTGCTCAGGTGTTAGAGCATTATCAGGATTATCAGAGCTGCCTGGATTCTCAGCACTGTTCAGAGTTTCCATTAGCAGTTTCTTAACAGGAAACTGACAAGACTTGGCTAAAAAGCAGATATAAAGACATCCAGAAAATTTTGATGGTTGAAATTCTGCCTTTCTCTCCAGTGTCAAACAGAATTGAGAAGGGGTTTTAGGGACTCTGTGTTTCTCAGTTCTTGTCAGAATCTAACCTGAAGTTTTATGTTTAGAGTATTTATTTCAGATAATAGTGCTTTCCAATTCTTCATTATTGGTCCCAATTTGAGCTATCTCAGATAGATTAAAGAAGTGAATATATTTTAAATTATACATTGCATTATATATTGTAAAATAATATATATTAATAATACATTAAAAATAGATCAGCTAGTAGGATATTTTTTCCCATTTCTAATAACTATTGTCTACCTTACTTCCCTTGTTTTCTCCTGATGCTCTGAGTTTGAATCACTGGAGCATGCACAGAGGCAGTAAGCTTACAAGGTTTCGAGGTGACACAGTATTGTTACACATGGACTGAGTTCTGCTGGTACCTAGAAGATTCTCTGCGACTCCTCAGAAAGTGATGAATAGTTTAAAGAGGACACATGGCATGTACCCTTTTCTAGGGAGCCAGATTCAGTAAAAGTATTTGGGGATAGTAGTTGGATTGAGTGACCCTCTAAAGTTCTCATGCTACATTTGAGATACAGTCCCAAGGTTATGAAATTGCTGGGCTCTCACATAGAGCTTATCTATGACAATGACACACACTAATACAAGCTGCTTATCTGAGCTAAGACTGTATTTGCTGTATCTCAAAACTTTTAACTTACACTTACAAAATTTGTTGAGAATAGGTCTCTTTTTGTACTACAAACACATACTTTATAGCCAATATCCTTTAGGAAGACACTACAAAAAACTAACTCCAAGGACCTAATCAATCCCATTAAAGTCACAATTTACAAGTCAAAAGTCCAGATTGATAGCCAAGTAAGCATTGAGAGGAATGATACATTTCAACAGTAGTCGGGAAACGTGAAGCTCTGTGAAGCAGGCAAAACTAGATTACTCTGTAGGTCTTCCCCATAACATTTTGAAATCTTAAGACACTAATGCCAGCAGCTAATGAGATGAATAATTACTTTTAAGTCATTAGGATCGATATTCTGCAAAGAGCATCATTCTCTGCCTCTAAGTCTCAAATGGAACACAGCTGCACTTCATTATTGTAAACAGCACAAAATGAATTCAAGCTGCCACCTCTTTGATATAGTTTCAAAAACCTTCCTATCACCCTTGCTCTTGAGAGGAGCACAAACATCCCACCTACTGCTTGGCTGGTCTTTATGCAAGGAGGCATTCTTCTTCTCCCCCCACCCCTGTCCAAGTACATATGAGCATCTCAAAGCGGATTCTTTCTTGCCATGCATTCATAGTGTCGCTGAAGGCTAGAAATCAACGCTCCATCAAGCCAAACTAGCAGAAAGGATAATGACCTCCGTGGCTCGGGTTTTGAACTTAGGATCTACAAACGGACTTTCTTAGAAAAAGTCTACAACAAGTAACTGAAATTGAACTTAAATAGCCTTTCATCTTCATCAGAAATTTCCAGAGATCTGCAAATAAAGGGTTTGAAGACCACTATTCTGGGGCTATTAGGGTCATTACAACTGTTGCTATCCAGATCACATGCAAGTTCATTCTAGTATTCTGCTACGGTGTCTTAAGTATGTGCCCTGATCTGCAAATAAGCATGAAATAAACATGCACATGGTTTGCCCTGTGCACTGTGAATTCAAATTCAATGCAACAAACCACTTTACCTAGAAGGCTATCGCTTATGTACACAAGCACCACAGCTGTTAGCTGACTCATTATTGAGCAGCAATTTTATTTACCTTCAGCCAAAGTTCAGCTTGTAGAAGAAAACAAGTAGCCTAGTAAGGAAAAAAAAAAAAAAAAAAAAAAAAACAGTCTTTGTGCCCAGCCTGAGACATCTAAGGACTAATTTCAGTAAGCACTTTGGCCTTCTAAAGGTTGGACCTACATTTTCTTAAGTAGGAATTTAGGTGGAGGGAGGATTATCTCAATTGTGGGCTTCTGCTTTATGCAAAGATTCCTTTTCTATTATCACAAAGTTAGGACTGAGTTACCAGAAATAAAACTAGACATTAGGAAACTACTTGCATCACTCCCTCAATTTGTCCTCTCAAAAATGAGGATAACTAGTTAGGTGCTTTGGTCAAACACTGATTCAGTCTGACCAATTGCATTTTTGCAGATATTAACAGAATGACAGCAGAGGGATAGAACGACCAACAATCAAATAAGGAAGTGGTAGATCGGGTCTGGGGGTGACGTAAACAGAAGAGACATCCTAATCAACACCACAGGGCTACAGTGGAATCACCCCCAGCATCTGCATGTAAATAAGGAAGCATCTTTGGGACCACATTATAGGGAGAGCCATTGTGTCCTTTCTATGAAGTCACCACACCAGGGTGCCTCTCTGCCTGTACACTAAATGCATACAGCATGGGAAGCAAACAGGAGGAATTACAGGGCTACAATTTCATTGGGATCAATGGAGATGTGGTGGGACAGCTCACACGACTGATTTCGAGCATCACATTATCTCCACGTCTTCCCAAACCTACATCCTAGCAGATTTGGTGCAGAAACATACCAGTTTCTTAACAGTTCTTATACAAGTGCAGTTTCAGAACTGCTGCATAAGTGATCCAGTCCTCCAATAGCAGGTTATGTTACATGAGTTAGTGTCACAGTGAACTCAGAAGTATACGTACCATAGAGTCAGAAGCGTTCTCCTTCCTAAACAGAGCCCTGTAGTTTTCACTTCACATCTTATTAAAATTTCCTAATCCATTTCCAAAGCAAGCAGGAAACCCTTGCCAGCTGTAGGCAGTGCAACTCACATATCACTATGCTCCCTGCCCAGGGCCTAACAAAGGCAACAGGGTGCAAGGGAATAGAAAAATGCCATTCTTTACCTTCCCAGAAGCTGGAAGGAAATACTTTGGAGCCCACCTGACACTCTCCCTCTCCTTCCCCCACTTAACACATTCTCATATTACTCCTCAGGAAATGTTGTTCAGAGAACCTGATATGATTTCTGATTATTAAGCTGTTGCCACAACAGTGTGCAAGAACAGGGAAACCTGAAGAGACAGGGACAACAGCTATCCTCCATGAATCTCCCTACTCTCATATTTAGTCCTACATATTTACAACCATACAATGCCATTCCATACCAAGATGGCTTATATGAAGGCTTATTTAGTAAAGGCTAGGTAAAGATCAGGTAGCTAAGAACAGAAAGTGTTTTAGGAAAACTAAAATTTAAATATAGTATCTAAGATTTGGATAACAGCAACTGCAAGAGGAGTGTGAGAAACGGTAGACTAGAGAACAAAGCATGCAACAAGGTAGCTGAAGAAAAGCACTCACATTCAGCAGCTAGAAGTAGGTAACATTTGCAAGATATCCACATTTTAGGGAGAAACAGGAAAAAATACACATTACTAAGATGGTTAAAAACTTGACATTCATCAGCACAAGATGGCACAGGTACAAAGATATTACTGGTTTCAAATAAAGAAAAGTGGAGGGACTAGTAAAATCTGCCTGTATTTGGAATTGAAGCTTGAATAAAGTGACAGTTAAGCCTGCTGTCTTTGAGTGGTGATGAACCTCAAAGTTTGGACTCTAATATTTACTAACACAAAGCCTAACAAAACAGATAGGGAAAGCAACATCCCAATAACCCACTCAGAATTCCCCTAACTCCTACAAGGTAACAGGAAAAAAAAACAACCATTAATGTTATCTGAACCACAGAAGCAGAGAGGGGTGTGGATTATTGCTGTATTGCACGATTTCTTTATAGAAACTGCTTTGGCTTGAAGTAGATCCACTAATCCAACCATATCCTTGCACAGGTAGTATCCAGCATGGCTTTAGGCAAGATATGCCAATGTATATTAAGGAGGGAGCTTTAATTTTGATATAAGTGCTGAAGCAGCAAAATACAATCAATCATTCACGATTTTAAATGTAAACATGAACACACACACACTTCAATAGTTAGTTTGTTTTTTGTAGTTGAAATCACTTTTATTTGTGAGGAACGTCACCCATGCTGCAGAGTTTCAAATAGGTCTTACCAAGGAAAGCGGAAGTTTCTCCTCCCCGTGTCCTGCAGTGAACAGGACTGGCACAGAAAAAAAAACAACTCATCACACCTGGGAGGTTTAGCACCAGCATCCAATAAAAAAAGCATTTGATTTCAATTTCAGTTCTTTGGTTGGGTTTTTTCCCTTTTCAGTTTGATACCAAAAGAAAAAATTGAAAAATTCAATGCTAGCGAAACAGTGAAATTCTTAACAAAAAAAAGCCCCCACAGTTGCTGTTGAAACTGGGGAGGTCGCTCTTTCTGAATCTCGCTCTCTTTCTCTCTTCATGCATCTATCTTGCAGGCGTTCCCTGGATCTCAGCTGCTGGTAAATTTTTTCTCTCAAGTTCCAATGTTTTGAATCTTTGCTTTCTCATCATTGTTGACTACTTATTGCTTGAATGTTTCTTTGGTGTTACGATTTTATTTGCATTTTAGGACACCTGTAGAAGAGCCAAATTACAACATGCAATTGACTTGAGGTTTCATTTCTATTGAGAAACAAACGTGAGAAACACTGGACTAGAGGACAAAGCTGTCTATCGGGTGGGATTTCAGATGAAGATGGAGTTACAACTGTAACTTACAGGATAAGCCAAGTCATGCTTATCCATCTACAAGTTAAGAGTACAGTATCCTCCTAAAGTAACACAGCACCAGCTCAATCAACAGATGCCAGTACTATATACCAGTTAGGAGCATCCCCTTAAAACAAATGAGACAGAAGAAGCAAAATCTTCTACAGACATTTACTTTGTGATGAATACAAAGAGGCAGAGAAGAGAAAAAAGCAGAACGGAAGCAGGAAATTCCTTAGGTTGTCTACACAGGACTCTCAGAAGCTATTTCAACTACCTATGCATAAGGGTATGTGGCCAGAGAGACAAGTCCTAGAAGCATACACAATGCTGCTTCAGCTGGAGAACAGGACCTATCTATATGACTTACCTGAGGGATGGTAAAGGTGCCTGGGGAGCCAGACATTACTCAGCACCACTCTGCTCAGTCACTTGTGCAGGATTTTCAGCAGGTGTTTCAGTCACCTTTGTCTGAGACACAATAAACCTACATTACAGACAAAGAATGACCTCCAGACCCTTTCTTTGTTCAGTAGTAGGGTCAGCATAACCCCAGGCTTTAAAATAATCTAAGGAAGATGAATTATCAGAAAATATTAACTACTGGGAATACAAAGTTTAAGTATTACATAGCAGATATTGGTACACTTTTTTCAAAACATCTCCAACATGGAGGGAACTACCTCAGTGGATATAGGATGAGAGAGTCTTCCCTATTAAACCCCGTGTTTGCAAATAGTTCACTGAAACCAGCTGGTTTAAGCAGACCAGGAAACAGATCTGGAGCTTTCAGATCTGTCTCTTAGCTTGCAGACTGATGGTCAGGGGAAGTGGGAAAATACAACAGTTCCTGTTGCTTCAGAAATACTGGTTACAATCTGATCCCCACTTAAGAACTATCCAGAAGTTCTTCCCATCCCACTGCTGGTTAGTGTTCCATTTAAGGTAAGCTACTGGTTCTCAAATAAGTTCATAGGGAACAGGCAATGAAACCAACTACCTTCACCACAAGCACCTTGGACATAACCATCAGATTCTTCTAGTACACTAACAGTATACTCAGTAAAAAACCTCAAGGGGCAGAGGGTCTTGAACATTCATCCAATCAACATCAGCCCCAAACTCAGTCTCAGCCAGGAGCGTGCTTACCTCTTTCCCATCCTGAGTTGGGGCATTGGGTGGACGAGGTCGACGCCGGTAGTTATATGGGCGCCGATACCCACGGCGAAGTGGCTGCTGACTCACAGCACTGGCCTCATGCTGGTTCTCTTTGTTTTCAGCCTCTCCAGCCCCTGGGGCAGGGCGAGGACGTGGGGGCCCTCTGAAAAGGGGGAAAAAAAAACATATAGCAGGTATATGTGAAGTTTGAGGTTTAAAACACAGTTACTTTGGCCCAGCCAAAGCCTCTCTAACCAACAAGTACCATCTTTTAACAATTCTGACTGCTAGCAAACCATGCCTTTGAAGTTTATCTGCCAAACAGTCAGAAGGGAAAGATCTATTTCACTAGGATAGACAAGCAGCCTGGGTCTCTCTCCACTGCTAGAACTGTATCAGCATACTCTGCTGCCAGTCCTACAATAAAAGGGCAGTTAGGTAATTTGAACTGCTGGCTAGGAGAGGAAAAAAAACAGTAGAGGTCACACAGAACAACTCTGCCAAATCAGCTTTAGATTAGCTATGCACCAGATCCAGCCCTATCCAGAGTTGAGTGGTGTGATCCCTGGGAACCCTTGTTCTACCATGAACCCATTCCCAGATCTCCCCTCCTCTCAGGGGACCGAAATGATGTTGCCCCTCCTTGGCCTTTTAAAAAAAAAAAAGAGAGGGTAATATGTATCTCAGTATTAATGAGGTCCAACTCTAAGATATCAAGTCCATCTTCCTGAGCTATGCAATAGCACACCATCCCACTTCCAACATAAGCACATTTTGTTCAGGAAGTGTCAAAACACAGCTGAAAGTGATGACAGTTATTGCCTACTGCCTAGTTCCTGTTAGCTGACTTAACTAATCCACAGCTGTTTAAATCCCAAAAGCCAATTTAGGTTTCACAAAAAAAAGCAAAAAAGCACTACTGTCACTGGATTTAGTGCATGTAAATGCACGCAATACCTATCTCAATTCCACATAAACTCATTATACTTGAAAATTGGATACATTCAGCCATGGTACCTCTTACAGGAAAAAGAGATACCAAAGTAAGTAAATTCCTTTTAGCCATGGGCAAACTATCCAATTTGCAGTTCACCTACATGACAGGTGCAAGAACTGAGATGTCTTGTTATACTTGGTGTGGTGCTATGCCTGACTAGCCAACTATGTGGTTTCTCAAAGATCTGTGCCTGGAAGCAGAACATCCACATAATGGAACACTGCATCCAAGCTGGAACCTGAGCTGGTGTCATGTGGTTTTATATTGCTGTACCTACACTAATGAAGACTTTCTGGAATTAAACATATTCGGCTCAGGCCCCAGCAAGCATCAGTATTATCCCAATTCCCACTATCCTAGTTACCAGAGCCAGCACAAGTGTTTACAGATAGAAAAGTTCAGAGCAGGAGCTGGAAAGCTCATGGTTCTTGATCCAGCCTCCAGAAGGAGGTTAACTTTATTGTGCATGGAATGTGCAGTCATCCACAATTACGTACAATCTTGTAATTCCTGTAAGATGTAGTGTCATCTTGTTCTTGCACTGGTATTTACCCCTTGCTGTTGGTTTTCAATTAACATGCATATGAAAAAATGGGGATTCTGTACATTTCACAGTTCATTTCTCCAAATTCAAACTTGGAGCTTGACTTCATAAGCTAGCTGGTATGAAAACAAGGACAAGAAGACGAAGAGCAAGTGAGGTGTGTAGTGAGTGGCAGACTGTGCAATACAATTTGTCTCCTTGAGAGGAGATGCCATGATACCAGTGAATACAATCCAGTGTTTTATCTCACTTGTTACTCATTCTCCAAGATAAACAAGTCACAAGAAGCCAGGAATCTGAATGATCTTTTCCACTTAAAGGCAGTTAATAAGAAGTGATGTTAACATCTCAAAAGGTATGACAGGCAGAGGCTAATTATTTCAGACTGTTTTGAACTGCAATGAGTTCTTAGGTCATGGAATTGTCCCCTCAGCGTGAAGGGTAGAGGCTTGACTGTTCATGTCAGAACTAGGACTGGAAAATAAAGAAAATGATCCTACATTAGCCAGTTTAACAAATAACTAACACAGACGACCCAGGAAGTTTCTGTGCACATCCCAATGGAAAGCACCAGTGTTCATGTGAAACCTAACTGATCTCTACTTCAGAATCTAAGAACAGCCTACTGTCTCTTCAAAAGTCCATTTAGCCCAGTTTTATGAATCCCTAGGGAAGAGTAACAACAGGGAAACATATGCAACACTTCCCTCAAGTCTCCCATAGCCTCCAACTATTTTCCACTCTGGGAATTTCCCAAGTCAGATACAGCTTGCCTATTTGGTAATACCATAACAGTGTTCTCTTCTAGCTTTTTGACCAGTCTCCCTCTAAACTCATGCAAACTTAACATCCCCAACATCTGGCAGCAAAAAGCTCCAGAAGTTTACTACCTGTTGTATGCATAACAACTTCCTTTGGTTTTTCAGCTTGTCTCCCACTTCATTCATTTGATGTCTCCTCTCCTGACTGCTCAGTAGCTTTCAGTCTTCACCCCTTTTTCCCCTTCAGTCATTTGATTAATTTTATTTTTGAGGGGAGCTCTCTAACCTCTTCAGCACCCATCCTTCTCCACAGCACTGGCAAGAGGAACTCCTGTAACGCTTACACTTTATTACTCCCAAAACAAAGCCATTAGAAGCCCTCATGGAATGTAATACTGAAGTTTTAACTGCCAGTAAATCCCTCCACTAGCATAGGGTATTACAAAATTACTATAGTACTGCCCTATAATTTAATGGCCTATAAGAAACAAGACATGACTTCAGTTCTTCCTGAACAGTAAGTAGGCTTTCTTATGCACCTACAAGTGGCACTAGTGCTTAGAACAAAGCCTGGGCTGTGAGAGGCACATACCTGTATGTACCTGTATGTGACAAGGGACAGGGCTGGAGGCACACCTGCATGCAAGCCACTTAGTCCAGCACTGAGGCACAAACTGCTGGCTTCAGTCCACAGGGAGGGTTACAAAGCACACCTAGCCCCTGCAAATGCTGGTCCTACCTGTCCTAGGTCAAGTGGGATTTGGATTCAATGCTTGTCCAAGAAAAATGTGAGTGTTCAACTGGGAAGACATGGGACCTGCAATTCCTTTCAATACATTGCTTAATTTTAAAAAGTAACAGGATACAGATAATTCTTTCTTAATCTATTTCTGGCTGTGAGTAACATACAAACACATTAAAGAGCTTCTATCATGGTTTTCTTACTCCTGTGGTTCCCCTTTCTCCTAAAAAGGAAAATGCTTTGTACTGTACCTACCATCTGAAAATACATGAATGCGAGGGAATACAACTTCTGCTACTAATGAAACCTGTTCAGACCATATACATCCAAATGCAATGAGCAGCAAAGGAAATAGCACAAACCTGCGATAGCGTGGGCGATACGTAGGATTCCTATGGACTTGTTGATGAAGTTGTCCTTCTGTGACCCCATCCTTGAGTTCTCCTTCACCACCCTGCAACCAAACAAAATGGAAGACTGAGACAAAGAAAGCATAACCTTATTTCAGAGGCAGTACATTAACTATATAGCCCAATACCTGGATATCAGATTAAACAGAACAATAAGTCAGTACAAAAATGCAAGCATACCTAGTAAAAAAAAAAGTAGTAGATATTCAGAATGCTTTCTTTTTGGCACAGAGGAGAGTAGGAAAGAACACAAGCAAACGGTGCTGCTCTTATTCCTCATAACAACAGATAGCAAAGAAACTACCTGATGATCCTCCACCATTTCTCCAGCAAAGGGCAGAAACTTTACAGTTCTCTGATGCATACAAGAGAGCATTTCAAGCCACAGCATTGCACTGTAAGTGGCAAACATGCCACAGAAAGGCAGATACTAATCAGGACACGTCTGAATTTAGAAAGGTAACTGAAAGACATCATACTGAAATATTCTAGAGACCACTTTCTGGCCACTTATACACACACAAAAAAGGAATTTAGAGATGGAAAAAACTATACTACATTGCATCAAATACTCAGCTTCTTTACTCACTCAGCACTTTCAGCCTTTCAGAGATGCAGTGGTTATCTTTCTCCTTTGGCTGTTATCTGCATTTCAGTTGCTCTTTTACTGCCAGTCCTCAATAATGTCTGTTTTATAGCAAGTCATTGTGACTTATCATACTCCTTACATTTCCCTTTGAAAGAAATGATTTAACAAAGAATCAGGGAACAGAAGAGAGCCGTCTACATCTGATGCACCAATTCATTAGGAGAAAAAAAAGCTATTGCTTGTGATAATCTTCACTAGTTTACACTAAGTCTGGCAAATCGCCTTCCAATTCCACACAGCTATTTTAATCACCATCTCATTTTGCTCTATTTTAACATGCAATATCAGGATAACTGCATGGACAGTAAACTTTTCTTTAACAAGGAATTAACTAAAATAACAAGATGATAAACATCTGAGAACCTGCAGCACTCCAGGATTTCAATAAGAAATCTTGGGGAATGGAACAGAATTCCCTGTCAGATCTGCACAAAACACTAACAGATTAAAATTCCCTCCAAAAGCATTAGGATTTCAGATGCTCTTTGTGGCTTTCCAAGTTTCCTAAAAGCACAGAGATATGACCCAAAGACCTTTGATGTATTTCAGACTCTGTACCTACAAATAGCTATGCAACCTATTCTCAGCAGTATGACAAGGCCAGCTGCTGAGGTGAAAAGTGAAGAGAAATCAGAACAATATTAAAAACAAAACACATACATGAGAGAAAACAGCATATCAAATGATGTTAGTTATAAAACTGATCAAGATAGCTAAATATTCAAAGAAGCTCCCATTAAGTAGCTAGATAGTAATAACAGGTATCTTCTGAGAGCGTAAAGAATCATTTGAGGCCCAAAACCTAAAAGGAATGTTAAATTAAGTTTACAACAGCATAAACAGCATTTCCTGCATCTTCTATAGTATCATAAAAAGTCAACTAATACCTTACATAAGCATCTACCTATCACTGTCAACTGATTTGTGTATATTGGCCAAAGGTTAAGAGCTATGATTCCAGAATAAAACTATTATGCTATCAGAAATCACTAAGACAGATAGTTGGACCAGAAAACAGAACTTGAACACTGAGATGTTGTTTTACTGTACTGATAGTAAAACTGTTAGATGCATTTTTATTAGAAATGCTTCATTCATACTCTTAAAAGCACTACACCTCTAGAACGCACGTGATCCTGCTCACTAGACTTCTTCCACAAAGACCTTCCAACTCAATGTAACACCTAGGTTATCCTAAAAGACAACGAAATAAACTAGCCAGTTGCACTTCACATTTTCCTCTGAAGATGACCACAATAGATAGGTAGGCTGTAATTCCCCATGAAGATCTCGCAGACTTCTTTAAGCCAAAAGATACAACATCTCATTCCCCCTTATTTCCCCCAAATCCTCCAATAAAAAATATCTTTATTTAAGCATTTAAGCACTGTAACACCAGTAAACTTTTCTCTCCTTGCATCCTAATTTATTCCTTTGTTCTTAGATGTCTTCAGAACAGTCTCTAGTTTTTACATACTACTATTCATATCTACAGGTCTCTTTTTGTGGAAAATAGTGCAGTTCTCAAAACAAACTTGCCTACATTCTGTTTCACTGGCATAGAGGCTCCTTCTGTCAGTAACACACAGTATTTCATATGAGGGCATCACCAATTCTCAGTGTTATTCCATGATTTATCATCTATTATAATATTCTGATTACAGCTCCATAACATGTCTACCTCATCATAGACAGTTCAGTAAAGACCTCAGACTCTTTTCTTTGTGGATACAATTAAGATATTTGATATGAACAAATACTTCCACTTTTCACAGAACTTTCCATACAATCCAATGAAACTCCACTGAAGTTGGTTAAATATCTTCAATATTCCAAGGTTCTCCTCATTCTTGAGGAATTTACACGTGTTCAAAAACAGATACAGTAAGTTATGCCTACAGCACAGACATATTCAAGTTAGTGGCAAACAAAGCATAGCACTTGCCTGAAACTATGCCAAGTCATCACAGATAAATCAAATGTTGCTGGTTGGACTCCAATTGCCAAGTGTGGTCAATTAGAGGTTCTTGAAACTGTAAAGTCATCATGTCAAAAAGTAATCTCAACAAGTTACAGCTGAGTCTTACTTCCATTCATGAACTATAGCACTCACTTTTCTTCAGTAAATTGAGGATGGATGATGTAGCAGCTGAGCTCTGCAGCCTAGTACATCTTAAACCTAGCAGCCTTAGATAGACTGAAACCTCTTCCTTCAGGTGTGCAGCTATCACTCACCTATAGCTCCGTGAACATCCTTGAGACTCTGAAGTCCAAGAAAACTGTACCATTACCAACTCAAACCTAATAAGTTTCAGAAATGGAAATGCATCCTCAAATGAAGAGGCACAAGCTTTTACTACACACCTATGATGGAGATGACAAAAGTGATTTTGACCATTCCGAAAACATCACATATATACTGCTACGGCTCTAGGATATTGCAGCCTTCCTTCTCCCTTCATAGATGGGGAAAGGAGGGGGGAAAGAAGAGGCCTCATTAAAGAAAAAGGATATTAGAAACAGGCATCTTTCTAGATGCAGATCTGCAGTTGCAATCCCCAAAAGGAAACATTACTAGCTCCAGATAAGCATTCACTCTTCTTTCAACTGATCTGTCAAAGCTAGTACACAAGGGATGACAAGAATATTTGGATAAGTGTATTGAGTGGTCTCACTGACCTACAATAAGACAGCTTTGGGGACAGGCCCTGCACAACACTTCCTTTCTCCTCAGTTGGATGCAAAATTGAGAGAAAGTTCTCTCAAATCTTTCAGACGCAAAATATAACATCTATTATAGTGCTGTTCTCATATTCCACCCTTTCATGACAAATCCTCTCCAGTCCGCATGCCACAATCAGATGCGGACTCTTGCTAACTTAGCTACAGATGCAATTTCTGACACACCAATTGTGGCTGTTAAGTCTAAAAAAACATCTCCATCTGTTTTCTGCTCTTGATTACTCTAAACTTAATGTGTTGCTTTAAGATCTAATCCTGCCCATCAAGGATATCAGTCCCTTTGACTTTAAAGGATACCTAAAAGAAAGATCCTAGCAAGAGATAAAGCTTATTTGGTTGCAGAGCATATTTTTAAGTCCTGGTTCCTTACATCCCTAGCTTTTCATGCATCTGGCAGTATTTCCTCCACTGGTGTTGCCTTTAGTTGCCACATTAGCTCCCAGTTAGTATGACATTCTTGCAGGGTTAAGTTCCAGTACTCATTTCATCCAGCTTGCCTAAGAAAAAAAGATGCCACAACTAGCATGTGCAATAACACTGTGGCTAACCAGATTTAAAAGAACCATTAATACTTTGGGGCCCCAGGACAAAGGGACATTGAGGAACATTATGTTCCTTCCAGATAAGGTGGCTCTTCAGGGCTATAAACCTCAGTATAAGAGTGTACAACTGTATGAGTGCAGCAACAGAGCGTCAGTGGCACAGAGTCTAATTGGAGGCCTGTAGCTAGCGGGGTCCCCCAGGGGGCAGTCCTGGGTCCAGTCTTGTTCAACATATTCCTCAATGACCGGGAGGAAGGGACAGAGTGCCCCCTCAGCAAGTTGGCTGCCGATACTAAACTGGGGGGAGAGGCTAACACGCCAGAAGACTGTGCTGCCATTCAGAGCGACCTGGACAGGCTGGAGAGCTGGGCTGAGAGGACCCTCCTGAAGTTCAACAAAGGCAAGGGCAAGGTCCTGCACCTAGGCAGGAATAACCCCATGCACCAGTACAGGCTGGGGGCTGACCTGCTGGAAAGCAGCTCTGCCGAGAAGGACCAGGGGGTCCTGGTGGACAACAAGTTGACCATGAGGCAGCAGTGTGCCCTTGTGGCCAAGAAGGCCAATGGTCTCCTGGGGTGCATGAGGAAGAGTGTTGCCAGCAGGTCGAGGGAGGTGATCCTGCCCCTCTCCTCAGCCCTGGGGAGGCCTCTCACCTGGAGTACTGTGTCCAGTTCTGGGCTCCCCAGTACACGAGAGACATGGCACTCCTGGAGAGAGTCCAGCAGAGGGCTACAAAGATGATGAGGGGACTGGAGCATCTCTCCTCTGAAGAAAGTCTGAGAGAGCTGGGCCTGTTCAGCCTGGAGAAGAGAAGACTGAAGGGGGATCTCAATGTGTACAAGTATCTGAAGGGGGAGTGTCGAGAGGATGGGGCCAGTCTTTTCTCCGTGGTGCCCAGCAACAGGACAAGAGGCAACGGGCATAAACTGAAACACAGCACGTTCCATCTGAACCTGAGGAAAAAAGCTTCTTCACTGTGAGGGTGACAGAGCACTGGAACAGGTTGCCCAGAGAGGTGGTGGAGTCTCCTTCGCTGGAGATATTCAAAACCCGCCTGGACGCGATCCTGGGCAATATGCTCTAGAGGACCCTGCTGGAGCAGGGAGGTTGGACTAGATGATCTCCAGAGGTCCCTTCCAACCTCAACCATGGAGTGATTCTGTGAACAGCTCTTTCTGGATCTGTCATGACTGGAAAAGCCAATGGTATTGGTGCTGAGGTTCATGAAAACTCCTCCTGTACTACAGGACATGAATAGAGCTGAGACCAAAAGTATAAGCAAAAGCCTTTTGCTGAAGACAGACGAGGGAGAAGGATCCAATTAGCCATTCAGCAGCACATTCTAGTACCCAGTTCCCAGCACACACCAGCATTCTCAGGGATTTGAGGAGAATGCAGAAACTCAGTGAAGTTTAATGGGAGAAGATACATGAGGTATCAGCCACTAAACCCTTGTTCCTCATCTTTGTTCTCCTCAGGTGTTTCTTACCATTAAGAGACATCTACATCTGATTAACTCACCATAGACTCTCTCTAGAGACAAACTAAAGAGCACAACTCATCTGGCCTGTTTTAAACAGCTCTCAGAAGGGTTGAGCTGCATACCAAAAATGCTTATTTCTGTCCATTGACTGATAAGGAAAAATACATCACCTAGCTCATACGCAGATAACGTTTGGTCAGATGTATACAGGGTAGGCTGCGAACATTCTAATTCATGGCATTCTACTAGACTCCTGTAGAATCAGTAATATATTTGCTTTCAGAAGAGCAGAGATATGCTGCTTTTCTAGATAGCTGCTGAATACCACTGCTGATAGCCTAAAGCAGAGCAAGTGGTGCTTGGATCCCTCCCACTCCTCTTTCACAAGCAGTTTTCTTCAATGAAAGCAGCGAGAAGCAAGTAAGCAGACAAAACATCTGAAAGGACTCTTTAGTCTTTGTGTTTTGTCCAGATTAAGAATTGTGACTGCAGCAAAAGAACACTGTCACCCTGAATGGATTTTAACCATCAGCATCTACTGAAAGTGCAAGAGTGGGTCACAAGCCAAGAAAATCCTGGTGTGCACTGAAGAAAATTTCTTAATATAGGTTACCAGGTTATCACTAGCCAACTAAGTGAGATTCTCAACTGGGCATTCACACATAAGGGAAATTTAAGGGAAATTACACAGGTTGCAGGTGTGAAGGCCAACAACCTTGGATGAAGTGACCATGAGATGGGAGAGTAAGATCCTGACAGAAGTGAACACCACAAGTAGCGTAGCAGAAGACTGAAGACTTCAAGAGTGGAGTTTGGCTTGTCAGGGAACTAATAGGTGGGAGGGTAAGAGGGTCTGGCAGGGCTGGTCAGTCTTCAAGGACAGCTAGCTCAGAACACAAATATGCAAGAAACCAAGCAGGCATAGCAGATGGGCAGCTTTGGCTGCACAGATAACTCCATGTTTGAGCTCAAACATGAGGAGTTAGTATCACTTGAGCAAAATCTACACATATAAGTCTATGGGACCAGAGAAGATGCATTCAAGAGTGCTGAAGGAGCTGGCCAATGTCACTGTGGCCATTATCAGCTGTGACCATTTCAAAGATATCAGGGAAGTCCTCAGTTACTGAGATGAGACAAACTTCATGCCTATCTGCAAGAAGGGTGAGAGGGAAGATCCAGTCAGCCTAAGCTCAGTCCCTTTGGAACTCAGGGACCTATAACTCAGGAAGCTAAACAGTACATATCCTTATGGAAGCCATTTCCAAATGCAGTTAAGGCAACTGAAAACAGTTAACATGAATTTACCAAATGCAAATAATCCTGATAACACTCATTGCCTTCTATGAAGGCTGGCTCTGCTGAACAGGAGGGAGCAGGTGATGGCATTCACCTCAACTTTAGCAAGTCTCCCATAGCATCCTTGAGCTCAAATTCAGATATGAACTGGATGAGCAGACTACAAAGTGAACGGAAAATTGGTTGGAGTGGGTTCAAAGGGTCAACAATTTGAAGTTTATCTGGTGGCGTGTTAAAAGTGACTTCCTGTGGGGATGGTACTGTACAATCTTCAGCAACCTTGATGATGGGACAGACTTCATGCTGAACAGATGCTTACAGATGACAAGAAATCTGAGGGTGCAGTCAGTGAATTGGTGGACAAGCCTCACATTCAGAGGGACTTCAACAAGCTGAAGGAATAACCTAACAAACCTCACGAGCAGTCAGAAAAAGTGAACATCCAGATTAAGATTTTTTTTGTAAGTGATCCTTTGCAAGTTTTGAAGGTTGCAGTTCTCCCAGAATCAAGCAGTATGTTTTAGGTCACCAAAAAAGATGAATTCAGAAGATAATCTGATACCAGTCACACAATTACAATCTGGTACCCAAATCAGATGAAGTTGGGAACTCTCAGATGTATGAGCAAGCCAAAGGGTAACAGTACAATATTGGAATTTGTCCCCTGCTGTACATCTTCAAGTATTTGGATCCAAGCATGAAGTAGTACCACAGAGAGGCCAGGTTTTCTTAGCTGCAGGAATTTACACTAGACAACCAAAAGAACATGTCCCAATGTGAATACCCTGAGACTAAGTGTCTCCTGTGTCCAAAAGTGAGTTTCACATTATCACTCTTCAGGCAGAAGGAAGCAACTGCTTTCCATACTCAGTAGTACATAGGTGTGTACAAGCCTGATATGTCTGCTCATTTTAAACCTAAAGTGACTTCAAGCCAATACCAATAACATCAACCAAAGTGTTCACTAGCAATAAAGTTAACTAAGGGAAATTCTAGTCTCAAGAGAGAAAAGAAACAGTGCCAATACTGGAACATAGCTGATGACCTAACAGATGGGATCAGAAACATCAAAACATCTGAAGCTGCAAAGTCACTGTAAAAGCAAGAAGCACTCAGTAACAAAGCATCAGAAACCAGCACCAGCACTTCCAGCCGTTGGAGAACGCTTCCGAAAGAACCTCACATAATTGAGGCTCTGTGGTGTTTCAGAAGGATTAAAAGAAAAGATCTTGTGATAGCTAGTATAAATGGCTAGGCTTTAAGGACAGATTTGACAATACTTTGTTTGCCTCCTTGCTGTTAGTTCTGTAGAATAAGCTGAAAAGAGAGGTATGTTGCTTGTGTAGAGACTGACAACAGGCTCTCATATTGGATTACTCATATGTTCCTGCAAGTGACGATCACAGACTCACCTATAAACAAAAAGATACTGCCAAGCCTGTAGTAGGCTCTAGTTTCTTGAACTGTTCCAGGGACCAATGCAGCACAAGCATGATGTAGGGCTGCAGTTCTAGCAGTTACCATCCACACCTTAAGTACTTCTCCCTATGCAAAAGCTTGTAGGGAAGCCATTTAGGAAAGCTTGGAGATGTGTACAGTGGTATGTGGCGAGCTTAAGCCAAAAAGTGCATTATCTTTATGATATACAGCTGTGGAGGAGGCCTAAAGGGACAATACTTACATGGAGGTTGCAATTGGTTGGTCATAGCTACCATGCTTAAATGCAAAAAACACTGAACATTTAACAAATCAGATTTTCTAAGCAATCCTTCCCAATTATGGCTATATTACTAAGGTAATATAGATACTTCCCTTTGCTTCAGGTGAAAGTGAACACTTAGGTGTCTCAATCCTTTGTGTTTAATCGCCTCAGTGAACAGACACCTTAACATCCAAGAAGATGCTTTAGCACTTTTCTAGAAAGATATACCAAGGAAGGGCCTACAGGACACCCAGTATTAGAAATGTCAGTACCAACATCAATGATGCACCGGAGGAAGGCAGTGCATTGCTGAAGAACACCACTCACACCTTAGTTAAGTATGGACAGCTTATCACATTCCAGTGGTGGTGAATCTTCCTCACATGAAGGAAGATGGCTGAGGAGGCAGGATGACTGTCACTAAGAAACAATTAAACTTACACTACGAGGTGGTCCACGGCGTCGGCCATAACAACCACGTCGATAGCGGCGCCGGTCCGCAGCATAACGGCTGCCTTCTACAGGGACTCCATCTGGACCAGTGACATTAGCTGCTTCTGCCCCCTAAAAGGCCAAAAAAAGTGAGTAAACCGGGGTGGGTAACAGAGGTGAAATGCGCTGTTTTAGTAGCCTAACAGAAAACTGATACCATGAGATGGATTCTGGAAGTCAGAAGATTAAAACAACAGAATGGGAAACTAGTTATTCTTCTCAAACAGTGTGCATTTTTGATAATTGGGGGGGGGAGGGGGTGAGGAGCAGGGGAGGAGAGAAAGACCAGGTATAGGGAGAAGGGAAAGGAAGACAAGGAAATGGGAAGTTTGTTTGTGCAAGTATAACATTAGTTCCAAGCTCCAGAGATTTCTTCCTCTCAAGCTACAAAAGCATCTCTATTCTCAATCCCATAACCTGAGAGCCTCGTCACTAGCTCTCAAAAAATAAGGATGAGAAAAGCAACAGATTAAAGATAGAAGATCCAAAAAGCAACACTCTCAGAAAGAGTTGGAGAAAGTGGAAATGGTGCCTATCAGGTCTGCAAACTTGAAGGTTGGCCAGGCTCCAAGACAAAAAATTATTCGGGGCAACTTATGCATCATTTCAAGCATGCAGGCTGCCCAATAATCCTTAACTGCTCTCTCAAGTAATAATTACAGATTCTAGAAGTAATAAGGTGTAGTTAAAGCAAGAGTTGAGACATATCTAGAAACATTTCTTAACTTTAGAGTACTGATTTTCCAGAGAAAAGCTGTATGAATGCCACCCGCTCCAGAGCTACTTCAGCACAGTAGACAAAACTATTAGCTACACACAGAAGGCTCTATGTTAGAAGGCCCTGAGAGTGGTGTTAACTCTATTGGACTACACCTCCATAATTCTCTTACCTTCTCTCCCTCGACCACATCAAATTCTACAGTTTCTCCATCACCAACACTGCGTAGATATTTCCGTGGGTTGTTCTTCTTTATTGCTGTCTTTAAAGAAGATATAGGAAAAAGTATTAGTTTTCAACTTATTAATTCATGGCCCTCTAGATGAGGGAAGGACAGTATTTTTCTGCTATGATAAACTTCGCACAGACAAGTCACCACACCAAAATACAATACACAAGTGTCCCCCATTCCCTAGCCCTTCCTTACTCAGCCAACATTTATTCCTTTCTCAATACTTATGAGGTTACAAACCAGTTGTCCCAGGTGCCCCTCTCTCACACCTACTTAATATGTGGATCATTTCACATGTTTGTATGAATAGAGTTCACATTGATTGTTTGACCTCCTGCAAGCAGTATCAAGGCAGTTCCAGCTGCAAGCGTGACCCATGGCTTCACAATCATTAAAGACCTGTAAACCATCTACAGAGAACTTACAACCAGGAGCACATTTACAGAAGATGCATTAACTATGAGGTATCATAGCAACTCATAACAACTAGAGAAGAAAAACTGCTATAACTTTAGTGTAACAGAAAGAAGCATTTTACCTAAGTACTGTAAGGCAGACCCCAAAAAGTTAGGTGACTCCCTAAGGCAGGCAGAAGAATAGTACCAGAAGAGAGTCTCAATCTTTAGTCATCTCTTCTAGAAGGAAACCCAAAAATAACATTAACACCACAGGTTAGGATCAAAACCAGTTGAAAACCCCCTCAGACTCACAGGAACACTCATACTTCCTAGAGCGGTTTTCAACCTGTGAACTACAGATCCCTTTCTCTCTGTTGAGTACTTCTAGGATTCTACAAAAGGCAGTTAGCAAAACAAGCCTATTATCAGTTCATTATGCAAGGGTTCACAAACTAAAAAGGCTGAAAAGAAAATAAGTAATCCATTGTGCAGGTCAATCTGAGAGCCAGCTTTTTCCTGTTTTGATTATTAAACACTGATCCACTTTCAGAGTCTCCTGATACAGGTGTATTTAGTTAGCACACAGGACATGGATGCACAAGATCCAGTAGACAGATACATGCACAAAATACAATGCATAAATCCAGCTTAAGAAACGACAATTGTGGAATTTGACAGTTCCAGGAAAACAGGCAGAAGGAAGATAATTTGATTTGCTGCCAATACATGGCACTTACATTCATTCATTGAAGCAACAATAGTCCAAAAATATTTACCATCAAAGTAGTGCTTGAAACTTCCTTCAGTTTAGAGCTGAGCTTGATCAGTTTAGGGAAGGTACTTTCCTGTTGCTGCCCCTTTTGTGTTTGAGGCAATAATCCAGCATGTTCTTTTAGCCCTCTATCTATGCCATTCCCTGTATCCAGCAGGGCTGCCAAATGATTCAAGGAAAAATGCAAAAGCTGTGCATAGCACTGCTATCAAAGCAAAAACAACCCCAGAATTTTTTCATGCAGGAAGAGAATGAGCTGCTCAAGTGAACTCCTTTGGGAAAGGCTTCAGCAAGCAAAGACTCCCACCTTCAGCCAAGGTTTTGCTTTTACTTCATTCGCTTTCTGTTGATCTGTTAGTAACTGTCCCATTTCTAACACCAGCTAGAAGTGGCAGCTTTTCCACAAATGCTATTCACTAAATCTAAAGTGAAGGTAACAATTTTAAGAGTTTAATTATTTTACTACCATTTATATTGGGACAATTGAAAAGCCTCTGGACTCTCATGGTCTACATATGGCACAAATGTCAACAAGCTATGTTCCAAAATCTTTCTTCTTCCTCGTATAGCAGGGGGGGAACCTTATTAGATTTCCTTTCAGCAGAGGGTGTATTGAAGATTAAAGCTCCTTAAACAACCTCCAAGCAGAGTAATGGAAGATAGTTTGAATAGAGCTTAACATGCAGTGTTCAAAATTTATGGATAGAGACTTCAAATTTCAGATTTGCAGTTGAATAACCTGCCAATAGGCTATGGAGCCCACCACACAATAGGCTGGGGTTTGTCTCATAAAAATCAAACAGAAGCAATTTTGAGTAAATCCTAGAATTCAGAGCATGAACTGTAAGAGTTTAATACTTCTTCAGCTGCAGGTAAACATTGCTGAAATAAGCCTCTAATAAGCCTATGCGCTTAGCTTGATGAAGACCTTACCTCTGTATATGCAGAGGGGAGGGAGCACTATGCTCTCTGTTACTGTTCACCAGCACAGGGCAGGCTCCAGCTTCTCTCATTCAGCAGATAGATGTTTTGTGTTACCAGACAGCCCTAAGAATTAGGGCACAGCCTTTCCTTTCCCCAGGGGACACTGATGCATAGATAGTGATGGGAGACTGCAGAGTTAGTTCAGTACTCCGCTCTGCTGAGTTCTTCCCATACCTTCATGACAGAACCCCACCACATCCATGTCCAGTGCTGTCACAGCAGTGGCCAAGATTTCTAACACATTACTGGTGTACCTCTAGCAGGCTGTGTTATAAACACTGCACATGATGAATGCAACCAAGAAAAACCTGTGCAACAGAGATCAATTTCCCCTCACTGCCTGTTGAGTCAAACTATGCCTAACTCAGTTAGGCTTCCCTAGCTCCCTATGTACTTTTAAAGGTGTTAAATTGTAAGGCACCCACACAAACACCCCCAACCCTGTCAGATTAATTGACACAGTACCCTAGACAGCATCTTGCACAAACCAACTCAGCAAGTACACAAACAAGATGAAGCCACTGTTGCTGTTTCTCCCCAGCAAGACAAAGGGTGAATTCAAAGCATCCATGCATGTCCTAAAGAGAAAAGCATTTTAATCTGTGCTCTGTTTATAAATAGCACCCAATAGCCGCACATGGAGCATTAACCCTTATTCCCATCGTGAGATCTGCCTGTTCCCTTCCTGCTGGGGGAGGGTGTCTCTCCTCAACTAGGTCAGCTTCGCTCTGAAAGTATTAGCTGGGCAATCTGGCCCCTCCCCCGCGGCCCCAGAACGGGGGGAGGGGCGGAGCCCGCCCACCAGAGCACGTCACTAATAGCGTCACTAACAGCTGAGAGCGAGCCAGCACGGAGCAGGATGTTTGCCCACACAAGGGATTTGCCTCTTATGCCACCGGTCCCTGCCCAGCTCACAGAGCAGGCCTCAACCAGGAGCCGGGCCACAAGCTCTCCCAGTGCCCCGAAGCTACAGAGCAACGGCCAGGCCACCTGTGCCCACCAGCTCCCACTTGGCCCCTGTAACAAGGATCTCCTCCCAGTGCCAGAGTTTAGTCAGAGCTGTGACAAGGCTGATTCTCCCTCCATGCAGCTTTCCATCACCATTTGTGTGACCACTCTGTCACATGCAGAAGAGCTTGAGATGGAATAGTTTAGGAACACTAACTGCAGCTGACAGATTATATCCAAAATCTGCTTTGCTATGTAGAACCCATGGTCAAGTTTGATCAGATGCCAATTTGCATGGGAGGCAGTATTTCTGAAATCACGACAGTGTTTTGCCCAGTGCTCACTCCCATGGAATTTCAGCTGCAGAAGATGAGAAATCAGTTGCTACATCCCATTCCCCTCCCCAGTTTACATGTGGGTAGAGTTATTGGCACAGGTGAATGTAACCTAAGTACAAAATAGCATATATGGTACTAGTTTGCTGCAGGTCTTCACTGTTTGGAGCCTTCACAGCCAGTGCTCCCAAGTAGAAAAACACTGACCCACACCACCTCATTACACAGCAGAACAGTCATTTTCCAGAATATCTTCTCAGGGATCTCTCGAGGACACCTTGTTTTTCTTCAAGGTAACTTCACTGTGCTGTCTATCCAGAAGGTATTTCAGCTACCAAACCCCTTCCCAACTCCCTCCAGATATACTTCCATCAGGTTGTAGATTCAGCCCCTCTATCAGGGTGCACACAGCACATGGTCATTAAGGAAGGAGAAGTGACTGTCAGGTATCTGCAGATACTTCACATTGAGGACTCTTGCTTTCAGGGCACCAAATGAGCCTGGAGTGCACACTTCCTGACATCTTAACTTCCTGACATCCTCAGTCATTCAGGGCACTAGTCCTGCTCCTTCAGCTTCAAGCATTTTAGAAATAATGGGTCTAAATACCTTCACCCAAAGAAACAGTGTCACATGCAATCAAGTTTAGTTGCAGTAGCTTCATTACTAGCTCTTCAAGTTTATCAGCATGTTTAAGATGACATGTGCACTTCTCAACAACTTGAGTTTCCTGCTTACATCTGATGTAAATACTGTCACTAACACCACAGAGAAAGCTCATGCTTCTAAGGATCACACATGAGCCCTGCAGACCTTTTATATGGGACAAGCTCCAAGGGCAGTATTTCATTTTCTGGTGAAGTCTCAGATGCTGCACACCAAGATCTTAAGCCAGCATGCAGACAGCATCTTCTCTTCCTTTCAGCTATCTATATCATGAGTCTCAGGTCACAGAGAGGCTCAGAACAGCCTGACAGCTCAAGGAAAGTTAATGACAGGCTGCACAGGAGCTTCTCTGTACTTGGCCACACTTGGCACATAGCCTTTCTCTCCTTCTTCCTAACAGCAGCTGTCTCATATGCAGCAACAGCTGATGGCAGCCCAGTCTGGTAAAGAGCCAGACTAGATCACTTTCTCTCCAATACCAGGAAGGGCAGATAGAACAGACCTACAAGTGAAAACAGTGGGAAGAAATAGAAGATGGAGGAGGAGTGTGAAGAAATGTGTGCATAGGTTGCAGGGAGGGGGGAGAGGGGGTGAAGACAGACAAGGAGAAGCAACAAATAGCAAGGAATTTACAAAATAGAAGTCAAATCCTTCTGTGTTCAAATCTGAGCAGACAACAGAAAAAAACATGAAAGTTTATAATACTTATCTCCTTCAATTATAACATCAGAGAAGAAAAAGATCCCTTCAATTTTCTCCCTGAAAGGCTTCCAATACTATTTCTTGTCACATTAGGATTTTAATGAGTACATGATCATTCAAGATATTCAAGTTGGGGTGGTTGTTCCAGAAGTTACACAAAAAAGTGTAATGCACTTTGTAAGTACAGTTACAGCTCTTACCTGATGAACAAACACATCTTCTTTGGTATCATTTCTGTGAAAGAGCAAGTGAGAAGTCATAAGAGTTTAGACTAACAGACTTAAATAGAAATCCCTGACTTCATGAGTAAAACCTCCCTTCCCCCAGCCTGTAGTACATCCCCTGGATGCCATACATTCTGTATAAGTCTATGCTATCAAGACCCTGCAGTGAATTTCCAGGGTCACATGCTTGAGAGCAAAAAGGATTCCCCACTCTTCAGAATGGGTGGTCCCTACAATCTGTGGGCAAACATTCAAGATGCAGTTTTGACACAGTAATAATTGACAGTAGTAATTGGACTGCTTGCCTTTTACTACCTCCATACACACCCTACCCCCCCCCACCCCCAAATCCAAACTTCCACAAAACCTGTAACCTGAGCTTCCAGCATGACCCAGAGGTCAATCAAAACTATCAACAGGTCTGGCCACAGCTGTTAGAGCTCTCCTTTCAGTGAAACCCAAAGCAACACTGCTTAAGATGTCCTATGAATGTCCATTGGAACAGGAGCCCAGACACAACCAAATGATTGGGTTGTATAGATTGCATGCAGAAGCTTGAGTCTCAAGGCATAAGGATTGGTCAGAAAGTTTGATTCTATGTTCCCATAGAGCAGAAGCAGCCTAGACATTTGTCTGTTCAATCCAATTCTTCCTCTGCAGAAAGAATAGGTGGGTCAGAAAGCTCATGAAGACAGTAAATCAGAAATTGACTGCATTGTTGCCAAACTAAAGTCTACTGCTCTGTTAGTACAACTAATAGAAGTTATACATCATAGCACTTGAAGTGATAGTCTTGAGCTGGATAGGAAAGACTCAAAAGTATTTCTTCCCAATTCAAGCTGTTCTAACTTCACACAATACTGGACAGCAGTCTCCAGACACTGGGATTAATACTGCATCAGAACTGGCTTCAGCTGCCATGAAACAGGGCTCTTCTATCCTATTCTACAGTGTCCAAGTTACCCAAATTAACTGCTAAGTGACAGTTAAAGACTTGCAGGACAAAAAAAGTTAAGTATCTCTACTGCAAGAGAGATGTTCACCACGTAGGAACTTCATTTTTCATGAACACTTGTGTCCTTTAAAACCCCTCAACCCTGTAGATATTCCAGCCTTAGAAGTCAAAAGCACACCCAAATTGTTGGAGAAAACAAGACCTAAGTTCAAGGCTGGCATATGACAAATAACACTTACCAAAGCTATGTATGCATATATATATATATATAAACCCCGTAACTGGAAGTTTGTGAAGCCAGGTCCAGAAAAATCTTCAGTTAAATAGTAGTGGAGAATTTTACTGTGTATTTAGAGTGGTTTATTTCAACTAATCAGTTAGCACACAAACTTTTATTAGAGTGCTTCCCCTCATCCTCCAACCTTATTCCCAGCTTTAAGAAGCCAGGTGGACATGAGATTTCATAAAACTTGTTCTCATGTTTACTCATGCTACACTCCTACTAATAGACTAGGTTTGCTATGTGTTTAAACCTTTTTCTTCCTCCCCTCCACTCTTTTGGGGGAGGGGGGCACGCACAGGAAGGGGTAGGGGTGCAAGGGTAGAAAGGAAGGAAAGGGGAACTAGTCTCAAGACATCTGAATACTTTTAACATCTGGTCAAACCTAGCAGTCATTTTATGAACTTCTTTTAGGTCTCAGCAGTTCTCACAGAGACCTAAGGCATGGCATGTTATCTGTACATGCATCTGTTTTAATGCAGTATAAATATGACCATCAATTTAAACGTACCTGTTGATAAAGCCATATCCGTTTCTGACATTGAACCACTTCACAGTGCCAAGAACTTTAGTGGCTGAAAAGAAAAAGGTTAAGTTACTCTAAAACATGGGGAAGCACAAGAACATTACAAAAATTTTTTTATACCTGTACATAAAGTCAGACAGATCAGTTCTGTTCCCTTCACACTCAAGGTATACTTTCATCTGCATTTCAGGTTATACTATGTAGCAGCAGGACACAGAACAGAACCACAGAATGGTTGAGGTTGGAAGGGACCTCTGGAGATCATCTAGTCCAACCTCCCTGCTCCAGCAGGGTCCTCTAGAGCACATTACCCAGGATTGTGTCCAGACAGCTTTTGAACATCTCCAGGAAAGGAGACTCCACAGCCTCTCTAGGCAACCTGTTCCAGTGCTCTGTCACCCTCACAGTGAAGAAGTTTTTCCTCATGCTCAGATGGAGCTTCCCATGTTTCAGTTTGGGCCCGTTTCCTCTCACCCAATCACTGGGCATCACTCAAAAAAAAAAACCTGGCACCATCCTCTTTATACCCTTCCTTCAGATACTTGCACATATTGATCAGATCAGCCTGGAGAAGAGAAAGCTCAGGGAAGAGGCCCAGATCTCTCAGCATCTCCTCATATGAGAGGCTGCAGTCCCTTAATCATCTTCATAGCCCTTTGCTGGGCTCACTCCAGGAGCTCCATGTCTCTTGTATTAGGGAGCCCAGAACTGGACACACTACTCCAGATGTGGCCTCACCAGGGCTGAGTAGAGGGGGGAAGAATCACCTCCCTTGACCTGCTGGCAATGCTCTTCCTAATGCACTGCAGGATACCACTGGCCTTCTTTGCCACAAGGGCACATTAAGCAGCTGAGGAAGAGAAAGTTAAGCTAAAGTGCTAAGAAGTTATCATGCAGCATCTAGAATAAACTCCAGCTGTGTTTTCAGAATTGGCCATTCATCCCTCCACTATTCTGTTTAACCTCAGAGATCAAAAATTAAGCTGAATCCCCTCCCCCACTGCCATTCAGTAGTTCTAATTTGGAAGCCAGACATTAAAGAGAGCTGAAAAAGGCCATTTAGAACCCCCTTTCACTTGGGCAACCATGTTTCCTTCCTAGGACAAGGAAACAATCATGTAAACACCATGCCCTTCAAGTGAAGGGGTAGAAGAGCCTAATTTTTGATGCAAACTTTCTTGCATTACTGTCATCCTCACTAACCAAACAAGAGCCCAACAAGTGTTACTCTGTTTCTAATAGGTATCCTCAATGATTCATCAGCTATGAAAGTGAACAACTATTTTCTGAGGCTTATAGGATCAAGACAAGCTCCTGTTCCTCACATAACACCCAACCAGCATCTGGTATACAAGCCATACCACAGTGTCATACAGGATGTGGTGAAACCTGTTCCTCCAACATATAGGTACATGTGGGAGGAACCCAACAGTGATGGAAGTAGCTCAACCCCTCCTTCCCTCTCAGCAACTGGGTGGAGGCCACTAACTTCCATTTGCCAAACCTGTAGGAAAGGGAGAATTTGGGGCTCTATTTTAACATATGTATCTATTACACAGCATGACCACAACCATCTGTTGCAATCTATGTAGTATTTAACTAAAGGGTCTAGCCAGCCACAGAAGACCATTTGCTTAAATTATTTTTTTTTGGGGGGGGGGGGAGGGGGGGAAAGCAGGGAGGAGAGAAGGGCAGATAACACAAGGCACAGTGCAAGGGGAGGAGAATCTGGGGAATCTCCAACTCAGATCTCCCTAAGCCAGGCAAGGAGCATATACTGCTAAGTATATCTGTATCTGCTCTACACCTGCATTCTTCCTTAGGCTTTGGCTCCACACAGTGTGGCCATCCTTATACTTCAGCCATATAAAAGTTAAGAATACTCAATACACAGCCAAAACAGCAGCATTTGCCAGTTGTATTTTTGCCATGGACTACTGAAAGCAGTAACAGGCCACTTCTCATCACACTTCTAGAAGTAAAGACTTCAGCTTTCTTGAACAGGCTTCTCTAGCAGGAAATGTTTACACTGTTAGAACAAGAACCACTTAAGACTAGGATAGTTATTAGCTGGAGCCATTTTCTCCAATACAACATCCACTCCCACCCCACTCCCTGTTTAGTGCCACAGAGATGAAAAACCCCAAGTTCCACTGCCTAGCATTGATTCAGCAGCAATCACTGTGGGAGGAGTGCCAGTGACCACACAGGTTTTAGCCTAATTTTCTAAGAAGAAAGACTAATACCACCAATTCCTCCACCATCCTTCCCCTCCCCTTCAAACAGCTATTGAAGCCATTGGCCTATTTCAGTTAGATTAGGAGATGATGAGAAGCCTAAGAAGTCTTAGGAAGAACTCCCCGAGGAGTTAGAAAACCAGTGAAAGGAAAGGTGATCAAAACTCACTATACAAGGCCAGTTGGCTGCCGATAGATGGAAATCTGCATACACAGCTTCAGAACTAGCTAGAGCAACACTGTTCCTCACACACAAGCTGTCAGAGATCATAGGGAAGTTTCCAGTGTAGTCCTCAAGACAGCACATTGGGGGAGATACCATTCTGTATTTGTACCAGTCTTATTCTCTCCCTTAAGTATTACTGTGAGGGGAAATGTGTCTCACACAATAGTACTATAGCAAACATCCATGTGACTACAGTATAGCCATTGTTCAGCCTGAACTGTCATAGTGGGGAGACCAGGCAGAGCAGGACAAGCCCAGAGGAAGCAAAAAACCAATTTTAATAAGAATTCAAAGAAAGCAGTTGAAGTGATGAGCCCTGCCCTACTAGGAAGGGACAGAAACCACATATTTCCACAAGGCACTGTGGCAGCTATTAATGGAAGTAATCAGTGATTCCCACTTATGCAGAAGTAGCCTTAGTTTCACCAATTTCAGAAAGGAAAACCAAAGTTTTCTCTGACCAAACACAGAAGAAAGCTGACTAGCCTTTATCCCTGCTCCTAGAAGTCAGATATTCAAGATGAGCTAAGCAAAGCATCAGAACTTGCTTCTAATGGGATGTTTAGAAAAGGAGACTTAAATGTACATAATTACAAGACCATTAACAGGGAAACTTGAGATGGACTTGAATGCAAGTTTGTTTTCAACTAGCATCATCAATAACCACCTTCTCAAATTCTCTCTGAAAAACCTGGTCTAGCAATAAGGCCAGTTTGCAAAACTATCAGCATAGAATAATTTGGACTAGAACAGGAAAGGCACCTGTGCAGAGCAGGAAAGGCACCTGTGCTTTCAGTTTTTTTTTTTTTTGAATTGAAAGCAATAGCAAGAGTCTTAAGTGAGCCTGACAGGTGAACTGAATAAAGAACAATAGCACAGATTAGCTAGCCATGGTAAGGTAAAAAAAACTAGCCAGGTGTACCAACAGCTGCAGATGTGACTTATATTCCAATTACGGACAACTAGACAGCAGAATAAGGGAAAGTAGATAAGTGATAGTTTCTAGTTTCTGCTTTGCTAGAACCCTTCCTACCTCAGCTCCAGAGGAATCTTTACCTGCTCCTGTTTTTGCTGTAGACAGACCTCAAATCTTTCTCTTCAGGAGTTAAGATCTGTCTTTCCTTAGTGAGGTTCAGGGCTCTGCACTAGTAGTCAGCCTCACCTTTGTGATAACCTCTTAAAACTATGCAGTTATAAGTAGTAGATCCCTATTTCCACTACAAGAACTTCACTGTAAACTGAAGTCTTGTCCTTTCCAAGGAACTGATCCTGTTTAATCACAAAGGGAACTAGCTATCCACTGGGCTTGAGTATAGAGGTAGCAACTCAACATTCAGTTTACATCTTTGCTATTGATAAAGCAAAAACTTAAGAAGGGGAAACACACTCACCACCAACCCACTAGAGTCACTCTAAGAGCACTTAGCATACTTTACGGGTAGGGAAGCTGAACAAAGATATTAAATCTTTAAGAGAGCTGGACTCTCGATTGCACATGCTGTTTACCAGCAGCCACTACC